AAGATTCTTGGATCTTTAAAATATTTTTTGGGTTTCGAGGTTACCCGAGATGCATCTGGTCTTCACATGAATCAAGAAAAGTATGCAAAGGACATTCTCATCAAAACCAAAATGGTTGATTGCAAACCATGTTCTACTCCAATGGCAGTTGGCTCTAAACTCACTCCTGATGACAGTGATCCATTTGATAATCCTACTCTTTACCGTAGTACCATTGGAGCCCTGCAATATCTTATCCTGTCTAGATCAGACATTGCTTATTTAGTTAATAAACTGAGCCAGTTTTTAAAGGCCCCAACACAGCTTCACTGGCAGGCCTGTAAGAGGCTGCTGAGATATGTTAAAGGAACTTCTAATTATGGAGTTCACTTCACTAAAAGTCATCTGTTTCTGCTGGAATGTTTCACTGATGCTGACTGGGCCAGCAGCTTGCATGACAGAAGATCAACCAGTGGCTACTGTGTGTTCCTTGGATCCAACCTAATTCAGTGGTTTTCTAGAAAACAGAACAAAGAGTTGTTGCTCTGTCATCTACTGAAGCAAAGTATCGAGCCCTTGCACAAGGATCAACTGAGATTGTCTGGTTTTGCAGTTTGTTCACTGAGCTTGAACTGCAACTTTCTGGTATTCCTATTATTTGGTGTGACAACCAAAGTGTTGGTTCCTTAGCCTCAATTCCTGTGTTTCATGGCAGGACAAAACACATTGAGCTTGATGCTCATTATGTGAGAAATCAAGTTACTGACAACAAACTGAAAGTTCAGTATGTTCCTACTGAATTTCGAAAAGCAGATGTGCTTACTAAAGCATTGCCAGCCTCCAAGTTTGTAACCTTTCGAGAAAAGCTCACTGTCAGAGCCACTCCATCAGTTTAATCAATCTGCTGCTAAACAACTTGCTACTGATGTTCTGTGTTGCTTGTGTTCTATTATTGGAGTTTGTAGGGTTAAAATCCTGTTGTTTTGGAGTTTAGTTTTGTAAGTTGCTTATTTGTTTGATGGTGGTTGAAGTTAGTCTAGTATTCAGAAGTATTGAGTTGAAGTTGTTTTTGCTGGTTGGTGAAATTTGTATTAAAGTGTTGAATCTGCTGAATTTGTTGAGTTGAAGTTTTTTTGCTGGTTGGTGAAGTTCATATTAAAGTAGTTTTAGAAGTGTTGAAAGTTGCTTACAATCAGGAACATAAGCCCAACATCAGCTCGTGATGAACTGGTTGCTACAAACAGCTCGTCTCATGAAAATGCAGCAGCTCGTGGCGAACTGGTTGCTATAAGCAGCTCGCTGAATTTGCTGAGTTGAAGTTTTTTTGCTGGTTGGTGAAGTTTGTATTAAAGTAGTTTCAGAAGTGTTGAAAGTTGCTTACGATCAGGAACATAAGTCCAACATCAGCTCGTGATGAACTGGTTGTTACAAGCAGCTCGTCTCATGCAAATACAGAAGCTCGTCTCATGCAAGTACAGAAGCTCATCTCAGTTGTCAAAAAAACAAGATTATGGAAGTTTGGTTTAAGGGAAGATGTTAGGATTAGTGTATGTAGTGATTCATGATGTTTAGGTTACTGATAAATGACTTTAGCCTAAGCTGCAAGTTATAATTTGTTACTTACACGTGTATTGTTGTAAGTTGCAATATGTTACTCACGTGTATTAGACTTGTGTATATAATAGAGCTGTAACCTTTTTCTGTTCAATTAGTGAAAGTCAATAGTAAACAACTTTACTCTTAAACTTTACTCTCCTAATTTTTTCCCTCTCAATTCTCATTCGCAACTGGGTTATGTTGCTTTGATAGATGCCTGAGAAGCAAACAATGCAAAAATTATTACTTGGATTAACAATTCTGTTGAGCATTCCATAGGTACACAGTTGGCGAAGTATGAGACAACAAATGAGGTTTGGGATCATCTGCAAAGGTTATTTACTCAATCAAATTTTGCAAAGTAGTATCAATTGGAGAATGACATACGAGCTCTTCAGCAGAAGAATATGAGTGTTCATGAGTTTTATTCTGCTATGATAGATCTTTCGGATCAATTGGCTCTTATAGAATCTGCAGAATTAAAGGCATGTGGTGCCTATATTGCTCATAGAGAGCAGCAACGGTTGGTACGATTTTTAACGGCACTTTGCAGTGATTTTGAAGGACTTAGAGGTTCAATTTTGCATTGTTCTCCACTTCCTTCTGTTGACTCAATTGTCAGTGAGTTATCAGCTGAAGAAATATGTCTTAAGTCTTATTCTGAAAAGGGAATTCTTTCTACTTCTAATCCTTCTGTGTTAGCAGTACCTTCTAAGCCATTCTTTAATAATCAGAATAAGCCTTACACAAGGGTTGCCTTCGACGAGTGTAGTTTCTGTAAGCAAAAAGGTCATTGGAAGGCTTAGTGTCCTAAGTTGAGACAACAGAATCAATCGCAGCGGCAATCTCAAGCTTAGAAGCCTGGCAACCAGTCACAATCTAATGCTCATAGACCACCTCAGGGTTACAGACCACCACAGTCTAATACTGCAGCAGTAGTTTCAGCAGGTCCTTTCACCAATCCTAGTACTCTGGCTGAGCAATTTCAGAAGTTTCTCTCCTTACAACCACAAGCTATGTTTGCTTCTTCTTCCGTAGGTTAATTCCTTCATAGTTCTTCATGTATGTCACATTCTGTATGGGTCTTGGATTCTGGTGCTTCACATCATATGTCTCTAGATTCTTCATCTTTTGCTTCTATGTCTCCTTCGTCTTCTATTCCTGTCATGACTGCTGATGGCACTCCTATGCCTTTAGTAGGTGTTGGTTCTATTGTCACACCTCACTTGTCTCTCTCTAATGTTTATCATATTCCAAAACTTACATTAAATCTTGCTTCTGTTGGTCAGTTATGTGATTATGGTAATTTAGTCACCTTTTCCTCTTCTTCTTGTTATGTGCAGGATCTGCAGTCTCGGAAGCTGATTGGGACAGGCCGTAGGAAGGGGGGACTATATATTTTGGATGAGTTAAAAGTGCTAGTTGCTGCTGCTACTAGTGTTGATGCTACTGCTACTAGTACTAGTGTTGATGCTACTGCTACTAGTGTTGATTTGTCTTCTTTTCATTTGAGTCCTTCTTCTTCTAGTTTTTATTTATGGCATTCTCGTTTAGGTCATGTTTCGTCTTCTCGTTTGAGATTTTTGGCATCCACAGGGGCTTTAGGAAATTTGCAAACTTGTGATATTTTTTATTGTAGTGGATGTAAATTAGCAAAATTTTTAGCTTTACCTTTTAATCGAAGTATTTCTGTTTCTTCATCTCTATTTGATTTGATTCATTCTGATGTATGGGGACCTTCTCCTGTTGCCATAAAAGGAGGGTCTCGATATTATGTTTCTTTTATTGATGATCATACTCGTTATTGTTGGGTTTATTTAATGAAACATCGTTCTGAATTCTTTGAGACATATACAACCTTTCAAGCTCTTGTCAAAACTCAACATTCTGCTGTTATCAAATGTTTTAGGTGTGATTTGGGTGGGGAATACACATCTAATAAATTTTGTGAGTTGCTTGCATTAGATGGAACTGTTCACCAAACCTCGTGTACAGATACTCTTGAGCAAAATGGTGTTGCTGAAAGAAAACATAGGCACATCGTTGAAACTGCTCGTTCTCTCTTGTTGTCTACTTCTGTTCCTAGTGTGTTTTGGGGTGAAGTTGTTCTTACTGCTGTAGGTTGGATTAATACAATTCCATCTTCTCATATTTTAGGTTTTTCTCTTTTCGAAAAGTTGTATGGGTATGCTCCTGATTATTCTTTCTTTAGAGTTTTTTGTTGTACTTGTTTCATTCTTCGTCCTCATGTAGAACGCAGCAAGTTGTCCTCTCAATCTGCTATTTGTGTCTTTCTTGGTTATGGTGAAGGTAAAAAGGGATATTGTTGTTTTGATCCAATAACTTAGAAACTTTGTGTCTCGTCATGTTGTTTTTCTTGAGCATATACCTTTCTTTTCTATTCCATCCATTACTCATAACTTGACTAGATCTGATCTTATTCGTATAGATCCTTTTGTTGAGGATTCTAATAGTTTGTCATCTCAGGTTCCTAGTACTTCAAATACCCATTCTCATGTTTTTACCCCGTTACTTTACATTATACTCGACCAATTCGTACTGATCATTCTGCAGGTACTGACACTTTACTCTCCAGCATACTTGAAGCTCCTTCTTTTCCTATGGTCCCTCAAGCTCCGTCTGAGATTGTGGATCCACCTCTACGTCAATCCATACGCATTCGTAAGTCCACAAAGTTACCAGATTTTGCTTATTCTTGTTATTCTTCATCTTTTGCTTCCTTTTTAGCCTCTATTCATTGTCTCTCTGAGCCTTCTTCCTATTAAGAGACAATTCTTGATCCTCTTTGGTAGCAAGCTATAGATGAGGAACTTTCTGCTTTGCATAAGATAGGTACTTGGGATTTGGTTCCTTTACCTCCTGGTAAGACTGTTGTTGGTTTTCGTTGGGTGTATAAGATCAAGACTAATTCTGACGGATCTATTGAGCGATACAAAGTTAGGTTGGTTGCAAAAGGGTACTCTCAACAGTATGGTATGGATTATGAGGAGACATTTGCTCCTATTGCAAAAATGACTATTATTCGTACTCTTATTATAGTAGCTTCGGTTCATCAGTGGCATATCTCTCAACTTGATGTTAAAAATGCCTTCTTGAATGGAGATCTTCAAGAAGAAGTTTATATGGCGCCCCCTCCTGGTGTTTCACATGATTCTGGGTATGTTTGCAAGCTCAAGAAAGCGTTATATGGTCTTAAACAAGCACCTCATGCTTGGTTTGAGAAATTTTCTGTTGTGATCTCTTCCCTTGGATTTGCTTCTAGTAGTCACGATTCTACTCTTTTTGTTAAGTGCACTGATGCAGGTCATATCATTCTATCTTTATATGTTGATGACATGATTATTACTGGTGATGATATTGATGGTATTTCAGTTTTGAAGACAGAGTTAGCTAGATAGTTTGAAATGAAGGATTTGGGTTCTCTACGATATTTCTTGGGTATTGAGGTAGCCTACTCACCTAGAGGTTATCTTCTTTCTCAGTCGAAATATGTTGCAGATATTCTTGAGCATGCTAGACTTACTGATAATAAGACTGTAGATACTCTGATTGAGGTTAACGCAAAGTATTCTTCTTCTGATGGTTTACCTTTGTCAGATCTTACTTTATACTGTACTATCATTGGGAGCTTGGTATATCTCACTATTACTCGTCTAGATATTGCATATGCTGTTCATGTTGTTAGTCAGTTTGTTGCTTCTCCTACTACAGTTCATTGGGCAGCTGTTCTTTGTATGTTTCGGTATCTTCGGGGTACAATCTTTCAGAGTCTTTCACTTCCATCCACCTCTTCCTTGGAGTTGTGTGCATACTCTGATGCTGATCATGACAGTGATCCCATAGATCGCAAGTCTATTACTGGTTTCTGTATCTTTTTGGGTGATTATCTTATTTCTTGGAAGTGCAAGAAACAATCCATTGTTTCTCAATCTTCAACTGAAGTAGAATATCGTGCTATGGCATCTACTACCAAAGAGATTGTTTGGTTACGTTGGTTATTTGCAGATATGGGAGTTTCTCTTTCTCATCCCACTCCTATGTATTGTGACAACCAGAGTTCTATTTAGATTGCTCACAACTCGGTTTTTCATGAACGAACTAAGCACATTGAGATCGATTGTCACCTTACTCGTCATCATCTCAAGCATGGCACCATTACCTTGCCCTTTGTTTCTTCTTCTTTGCAGATTGCAAATTTCTTTACCAAGTCGCATTCTATTTCCCATTTTCGTTTTCTAGTTGGCAAACTCTCGATGCTTGTAGCCGCCACATCGTGAGTTTGAGGGGAGATGTTAAAAAATAAAGGGTTATTTTGTTTTATTGTTTATTAAAGGTAGATATGTCTTTTCATTATTTCCTTTGTTTAGCCTATATATAGTCTCTTTGTATTTAGGTTAAATTATTCTTTTTGTATTCAATTGCATTGTGCAGTATCAATGAAACCCTAGCCTCCTCTTTTTTTTTTATTTCTTTGGATTGTTTAACAGTAACCTGAGTCTGATTCAGTCAATCTACGAATCAATTCAACACAAACAAGAACCAAGAATCACACACACACACAAGACGATATTTATCATGGTTCATCTATCCAATGTTGGATAGATTACATCCACGTTGAGCTCCAAAATATGAAAACTTACTGCACTAGGACTATTCAACAGTTACACAACGATTACAAGCTCAATCTACTAAATCTGAACAATACAACTACCCATACTTAATCACTCTAATTCGTACCTACAACTCACAAGATTTCAGAGCACTAATCTAGCCTCAAAAGGAAACACAGTCTTCAATCTAATCCTGCTCAGAATTACAACGAAATAGCCCCAGCAATTAAGCCCTAATCAGTTTCTCAAACACTCAAAGAATGAACCCTAACAGAGAAGACTAACCCGATAAAAACTTATTACTGTTTTGCCCCCTTTTATATTATTGACTGTCAACAAATGTGAGTTGCACGATCTGTCTTGAATCAACATCTAGGATTCACTTCTTCAAATAAACTGAGAACGACACCGTTTGGCTTCATAATACTTTCAGTCTCCACCTTGAAGCCAACATTCTGCCTTTCCCCTTTTTGCTGAACCTCCTTTAGTGCAGTAAGTTTCTCTCATATTTGTTCTTAGCTCCAAGAATTGACTAACTGATGTGAAGTAAGTTCAAGCAGTGCTTGAACTTCGCCGTTGTTACCACTTTTGTTCCCAGGAATTGACATCGTTTGGCTTCATAATACTTTCAATCATGCTATATGCAAGACACAGGTTCATCAGAGGAAGTTCCTTGGGATCAGGAAGATATAAGGAAGCTCATTGCGAAAACCTGGAAACAAATGAATAAGGATCTGAGTAATAAGCGTCCATTTGCAGAAGCTTTTGGGGAAACAGCGACTAATCTTGCTCAGATAAGCCCATCGCACATACAAAAATGGAGATGGACATGGAGCTCCAGATGTTAGAGCTAACAAAAGAGTCCTAATATTAATCAAATGTCATGTAATCAAGGCAAGGTCATTATTCATGTATGTGAAATAGTTCTTTGTAATAATAATTGTGTATGTATTATTAATGTTACTGATAAGAATTTTGAATCTCCGTGAGCCATTACAAATGACTTTAAGTTCAACCTGGTATCATTTATTTCTCTAAACATCTTGTATCATTTATTTATATTTCTTACTCTACATTACGAGTGGTATTAGTATTACTTGAGTACCATCAAACCTTTTTGTAAATTCCAATTTTTAATAAAATTAATTATAAATATATTATACTTCTTTTTTTTTTTGGCAAAGTTACCCAACTCTTATTCTCTTAACATTCCTGTTCTGAAACTCTTCATTGTAATACGAACACTTCTTTAGTCTTATTTGATCTTCGTATGACTGTAAAGTAAAACAGAAGTTGTCAAGGTACAAAAAAATATATATCAATAATCGTCCTTAGTCCATTTAGTTTTACGTACTTGCCCTTAAAATCATAGATTGTTACCTATAAAATAATATAAACAAAATTAAATACCCTTCACAACCTGTGTATCGCGTTAAGACTAAGTAATTTTCTTGTAATCTTCTTTTTCTTTTCCAAGTCTTTATCTTGGATAATGATGGATAGAGAAACTCAATAAAAAATATGTTAGGAGAGATTGGGAGTAGACTTAAACTTAATATTAGATATTTTTATTAATTGTAATTTCATCGTTTATATACGACTCGTATGATGTTTAATTTTTTATTCACATTGTGATATGTAGTAACAAATTTACAAATTACTGACCCTTACAAATTTAGGTTCAAGAACAATTTTATATTATTTTTATATATTACAAAGAGAAGTAAAATTTTACATTTTAAGATTATTTAAAAAAAAATATATCAATAAGAAGACTAAAAATTTAACTAATATAAAATTGATTCTGAATTCTGATCCTAATACTTTAATTAAACGGAAGATTTGTTTGCATTAGTAAAATGTAAGATCTTTAATTTTTGCATACTTTTTAAGTGCCTTTTTCTGTTCATTTAAAACATGTTTAGTTCTTATTTTAATGTAATTTGGTAATATCTTATACTTTTTTATTCTTTACCATGTTTTGAGTCATTGAATATAATTGTTAGCTGTATTTGTTTTTATTTATATAGACGCGGAACCTTACACCGTCGACAGAAATGTTAACTGTTAGGTATAGAGTTTTGTCACTTATTTTTGTAGTTAAAGGTTTCTAGACCAAACCTAGTACTGGAGTTTAATAAAAACTACCCTTTTACTGTTCTTAAAGTTTTAAGTGACACTGGTTAATGTTAACGAGATCCTAGAAATATGCATGAATCCATCTTGTAAAAAATGATTTATGCTAAAAACTATTCCAAAACACATATGTTGAGTTTCGAAATAAGTTTTAAAGTTTAACAAAATCTCAGTACGAGTAATGATCAGGATGTCTAGTTTTATTAGAAGACTAATTAAATTACTTGTTGAGCGATGCTTTAGATTTTCGGCTCGAGTAAAAAGCAAAAGACTTGAGTTTTATTTGTGATTTTTGTATTGTTAGTTAAGGGATTTCAGTCCATTAATTTATTATTGTTGTTATCAGTTGATTCTTTGGATATAACTCTGATTATTATTTTTTAATTAATAAGAGGGTAAAGAGAAAATTGTGTACACATTGTTAACGGGAGCTAACAGTAACAGATGTTAGGTACGGAGTTTTATGATTCTAAGTCCAAGTCGGGAGCTAATTTAAAATTCCCCGTGATATACATGTTGATGGTGAGATGAGATGATTATTATACATAAGTCACATTGTGCATTTAACAAATATAATAATTCCAACCTTGTTATACCTAAAAAGTCACGTTTATGTCAACTTAATAAATATTTTTTTGTACTAGCTGTCAAGCTCATATCTCCTCAAAGATATTTATATTTCATACCAACCCTATCTCATTTCAAGAGATGAATGGACGAGAGTCTTCCATGTGTCAAGGCAACTTACAAAACACTCTTTACATTGAGTTCAGAGGTGTATAAATTTGTACTTCTCTTCCCGAAAAGGGAGGTTGGGCATATGAGAGCTAGGCATAGATTTGAGCTCAATTCTTTCTCTCTATAAACACTGTATTTCTTCATCTTTGTATACTTTACAGACAATATCATAGAAATAGTCAAAGATCAATAAAATAAAAGTGAATGTAGGAGTCGCTTGTTTGAGCATCCGAACCACTATAAAAACCTTTCTTGTTAGCCTATTATTTATGTTTTTTGTAACATATATAATCTCAGCTCCATATTCAAATTTCATGGATCCATCACGTGTAATTTCTAAGACCCTCTTAGCACTTTGCACGTGCGAGTCGTTGGCGTCCAAAATCACGTGTCAACAGTTTGGTGGCCCATGCAGGTCTCAAACCCGCATCCAAGTTCCCTGATGGCGTGCTCAGATCTCAAGCCCGCGTTAGAATTCTCCAATTGCGTGGCCAGATTGCAGATCACACACGTTAGAATTCTCCAATCGCTTGGCCAGATCACAGGTTGCACGCATCAGAGTTCTCCGATCTCGTGGCCAGATCATAGATTGCACGCGTTAGAATTCTCCAATCGCGTGGCCAGATGACAGATCGCACGTGTCAGAATTCTCCAATCGCGTGGCCAGATCGCAGATCGCATGCGTCAGAGTTCTTCGATCGCGTGGCCAGATAGCATATCGCACACGTCAGAATTCTTCAATCGCTTGGCTAGATCGCAGATTGCACGCTCAGGTCATCCTGATCTTCGGCTTCAGATCGCTGATCTTTAGCTTCAAATCGCATATTTAGATCGCTGATCTCTTGCTCTCAAGTCGAGCTCGTTATGCTCTGGTTATGCTCAGGTTGAGCTCGTTATTCTTTGAGGTCGAGCTCGTTATGCTGAGGTCAAGCTCGTTATGCTCTCAGGTTGAGCTCGTTATGCTTTCAGGTGAAGCTCGTTATGCTCTGAGGTCGAGCTCGTTATGCTCAGGTAGAGCTCGTTATGCTTAGGTCGAGCTTGTTATGCTCTCAGGGCGAGCTTGTTATGTTCTCAGGTCGAGCTCCTACCAGATCGCGATCAGCTCCTAGCTCTCAGCACTTGATCGTGCTAGGAATAGTTCGAGCTCTTCAGTTCGAGACTGCAACCTATAGTATAGCAGCCACTCAGGTCAAAGACCTTAGTTTCTGAAGCGTGATTACGCACTCCAAAAACTGGGGGTTTCTGTTATACCTAAAATGTTACGCTTATGTCAGCTTAATAAATGTCTTTTTGTACTAGCTACCAAGCCCATATCTCCTCAAAGATGTTCATACCAACCCTATCTCATTTCAAGAGATGAATGGACGAGAGCCTTCCATGTGTCAAGGCAACTTGCAAAACACTCCTTACATTGAGTTCAGAGGTGTATAAATTAACAATTCTCTTCCCAAAAAGGGAGGCTGGACATATGAGAGCTAGGCATAGATTTGAGCTCAATTCTTTCTCTCTGTAAACACTGTATTTCTTCATCTTTGTATGCCTTACGGGCAATATCATAAAAATAGTCAGAGATCAATAAAATAAAAGTGGATGTAGGAGTCGCTTGTTTGAGCATCCGAACCACTATAAAAACCTCCCTTGTTAGCCTATTATTTATGTTTTCTGCAACATATATAATCTCACATATTCAAATCTCATGAATCCATCACGTGTAATTTCTAAGACCCTCTTAGCACTTTACACGTATGAGTCGTTGGCGTTCAAAATCACGCGTCAACAAACCTAATCGTGTGGAAAAAACCTTACCTTCTTTGAATATTTCATGCATGAACGTCTAGCAAAATAACCTCTCTCGTACCCTGGATATTTATATATGCTCTATGTCAATCATATAAACTCTAAGAATTAGAAACATTACAATTGCAATGGCACTAGTCCATCTCTCTTCCTTGCCTCTTACAAACTCCCCCAGATATCATCTTATTAAAAGACCTCGAAATAATGCCCCAGTGAATCTCCAACTTAAATGCTCAATGAGCAGACAAGTTCCTCATTCACCGCATCCGAGAAAATGTGCAAATTATCAACCAACCATTTGGAGTTACAATTTTCTGCAATCTTTACGCATTGATGAACTGGTGACTATTTACTTAAGCTATTCTTCATGTTTATGTATTCCTTTAATATTTTTAATGTTTATATTTTTTGGTTTTTTTTTTTTTTTTTTTTTTTTTTTATTTTGGGTGGAAAGCAATGAAAAAGTAACCGATTACCATATTGCATAGCATAGTAACCATAAACTCCGAGACTATATCTTGCAGTTGCACCGTGAAATGACGAATTGTTTGAATTTTCATAGGATGAAGAATGCGGGAACAGAGGAAAAAAGCTAGAGGAGGTGAGGTGTATGGTAAACAATGAAAAACAGAGTTGTTGAGCATTCTTGAACTGATTGATGACATCCAGCGGCTAGGTTTAGGATATCGTTTCACAAGGACATAAAGAAGCTCTTAATAGAATCAATTTGTCTTGGAAAAAGTACGAGGATAAAGTGAAAGCAGAAAACAAAATCCTGCTACAGCTCTCAGATTCAGGCTTCTTAGGCAAACATGGTTTCACATCTCTCAAGGTATCCTCACATTCTTAATATATGTATTTGTTGGTTGACACAGTCCTCTAGTTAAGCATGCAGCCTCTGACAAGGGATATATCTTTTAAGTTCCTTTATTTTTATATTTTTGTTCTTTGTTCTGATGAAAACAATCAAAAAGGCATATCCTATAGCAGTTAATTTATTAAAATAAGTTTAGAGGAGTTTAGTTTAAATAAATTATTTCCAGAATCAATACTAACTTAGTAGAAAAGTCAACTTTCTCTTACTTGGCTCATGATTATTGGACTTAATAGTCAACCATGTAATTTTTCTTTTTTGTAAACCACAGATGTCTTCAAGACTTTCGTTGACCAAAAAGGCAATTACATGGCTAACTTACACAAGGATATCAAAGGAATGCTAAGTTTGTATGAGGCTTCATATCTAGCCTTTGAAGAAGAAAAGCTCTTGGAGGAAGCCCAAAAATTTTCAACAACACATCTCACTGACCTACAGAGAAACGTAGACCCAGCCATATCACAACTTGTTACTCACGCATTGGAGCTTCCATTGCATCATAGAATGCAAAGGCTAGAAGCTCGGTGGTATATTGAAGTCTACAGCGAAAGAAATGATCCAAATTACTTACTACTTGAACTTGCCCAGCTGGATTTTAACAGGGTGCAGTCAGTGTACCAAAAAGATGTGAAAGATATGTCAAGGTGGTGGAAGGAAATTGATCTAGCAAACAAGTTGGATTTCGCCCGGGACAGGTTGATGGAATGCTTCTTTTGGACGGTTGGAATGGTTCCTGATCCACAATTTAGTAATTGCCGTAAAGGTTTAACGAAAGTGACCACATTTATAACGATCATTGATGACATCTATGACGTATATGGTTCTCTGGATGAATTAGAGCTCTTTACGGATGTGCTTGAAAGGTTTGCATTGTACAAAAATTCTTCAATTAACAAAACTTTTAGTTCTGATTCTCTGTTTACTTGAAAATTAATTTCAAGTTGTCAATGGTGGTTTTAGATGGGATATCAATTGCGTGAATAAACTTCCAGACTATATGAAATTGTGCTTCCTAGCTCTTTACAACAGTGTAAATGAGATGGGTTATGACACTCTAAAAGAAAAGGGAGTGAACATCATTCCGTACCTAAAGAAAGCGGTATTCTTTGAATGCTTAATTTCAATTTCTTGTATCGTTGGCATTCTGTATTATTTCTCCATCCTAACGCGAAGAAATGAAACTTTTTCTGTTGATTCAGTGGGTTGATATGTGCAAAGCATTTTTACGAGAAGCAAAATGGAGTTTCAACAAATACACGCCAACGTTCGAGGAATATCTTGACAATGCGTGGCGATCAGTGTCGGGGACTCTAATTCTGGTTCATTCCTACTTTTTAATGAATCAAAGTATCACCAAGGAGGCACTTGACTCATTAGAAAATTACCATAGTCTGTTGCGCTGGCCATCTGTGATTTTTCGACTTTGCAATGATTTCAGTACTTCAAAGGTATGATTTTTCACCATGGAAAGCTCATCCTTAGCCGTTTTAATTAATTAATATAACTAATTGATATCTTTTACGCGTTTTGCTACACAGGCTGAGCTAGAAAGAGGTGAAACCGCGAGTTCAATATTATGCTATATGCATGAAACGGGCGTATCCGAGGAAATAGCTCGGGAAGAAATAAGGAAGTTCATTGAGAAAGCTTGGAACAAAATGAATAAGGATCTGAATGATAAGCATCCATTTGCAGAAGCTTTCGTAGAAACAGCTTTTAATCTCGGTCGGATAGTCCATTGCACATACCAACATGGAGATTCGCATGGAGCTCCTGATTGTAGCGCTAAGAACAGAGTCCTTTCATTAATAATTGATCCCATTGCAATCATGCCAAGACAAGTAAAATCACAATGAATTTTCGAATCCAAAGGGCAATTACATTGACGAGCTGAATGTCAACCACCCAGGGAATGGTCTTCCGAGAATTTATTGGTTATATACATTATATATCTTTTAGCTGAAGACTAAAGTTTCATTCACTTGGAGATCTCTTGATAACTTTAGGTGCTGGTGCTACAATCTTTCCTTTATACGGAATAAGTTGTAAGGAACATTTATTGTGTACTTACTATTATCGTTCTGTGAATAAGGAGATACTATTTATAATAATTGAATTTTGTTTTTCTTGAGACTTATATTAAGAGCATGATAGATTAAGATCATGTTCCAAAACAGATTTAAACATACTGAGATTTGAATAAATTTTTTTATGAGAAAGAAAGTTTTAGATTACATCAAAATCTCAGTGTGAGTAATGATCTGAATGTGAAGTCACTACAAGAAAAAGTATTTTTTGCACCCAGACATAAATAATTACAGATACCCCACATTTAGTAACTAAACTCCAATTAGTCAGCCAAAGGGAATAAAATTCTACGGCTCATTTATTCTCGCCTTCAGCGTCTAAAATTAATATTTTGCCACTAATGTGATTTGTTGCCAAAATATCACATCAGCAACTAATTTATTTGGTTACCAATTTTTGCGCGAACACAACTGGCAACTACAATAAAGGATTCTGTAACTAAAATTATGGTTACAGAAAACAATTATTTGCAACTACTGAGTAGTTGTTAAATTAGATGCAAATACTTATTAATTAATTTGTAACTATTTTTATTAGTTACAAAATAATAAAATTACCGAAATATCCAAGCTTTTGACAATAATTACAAAGGGCCCAGGATACATTTGGCAACTAATTATTTTTTGCATATTACAATTAGTTGCAAAAACTCATGTATAACAACTAAAATGTATTTAGTTGCTAAAAGTTGATGAATTTTTTTGAACCCAACTCTCCCGGTAAAATGAAAAAATATTATTTTAATTTGTGACTTAAAATTACTATTACATAACTAATTAGTTAGTTGCAAATTATCTTCTTTTGACAATTAAGATTTTAATTGTCAAATGTATGGTAAATTTTGAGCCCTCTAAATTCCCGCTTGAAATAAATTATTTTCTTTTGGCAACTAAGATTTTAGTTGTTAAATGTATGGTAAATTTTGAGCGCCCCATGTTCCCGCTTGAAATAAATTGAAATTTTAGGTATGTTATTTTGGCAACTAAAGTTATAGTTGTTAATAGGATTTTTTTGCAACCAAAATATTAGCCATTAAATATTGTTTATTAAAAATAATATATACTACTAGTAACCAAAATCAATTTTATTGTTTGATTCTATTTTTGCCGCCTACATTACCATCTCTTTGATTCTACTTTACCATCTCTTTGATTCTACTTTTGCCGCCTACATTACTCCATTGAAGGTAACTTTTATTTTTATTTTTATGTCAAAGCTCATTCTTTTATAGATGGTATTTCAATTTTTTTGTGTGAATTTTAATCTGTTTTTTTCACAACATTTGCTTTAATTTGTTTAAGCATCTGTTGTTAGTGACGTTCCTAAATGGGTGGCTATAACTTCGTAATGGGTGATTTTATTTTTGTCTTCTCTTTCATCTGACATTACCATTTTTCCTTAAAACTTTTACTTAACCGCTATTTCACTCGTTTGTACAAACCCTCATAGTTGACCTCCTTTCAGCACTGGAACAACAGTTCTAGTTTCTACCACTCTCGTTCAGTAGACAATGACTCGCTCACTAACTCTGATGCTTATTCTATGCCTATTTCGACAGAGATTATTAATTTCGATGAGTTTTGGCAAAGCGTTTCCCGAACACCCAAATGTAGTGATGTTTAGAAAAATGTAGAAACTGAACCTAACCGAGAATTGAACCAGTTTTTTGTTTACCTGGAAACCGTTTGATTGTGGTCCACAAAAATACAAAAAACTGAATTTCCAATTTTGAAAAACAAAAATAAAAAAGTAAACAATTTTTCCTTAAAATTTAAAAAGTAAACAAATTGAAAAGTCCTTAAATCCTTACCTTTACCTTTAAAGAAAAACAAAACCCAAACCCGTTTCAGGGTAACATAAATAAAAAAAAAAAAAAAGAATTGGTAATTAAGTTTGCACAAAAGTTTTTGAAGCTTAAACTAAAAAGATAGTAAACCCACTTATACAAAATCCCCAAACTGATTTTACCCTAAAACGCAAACACTCTCCACTTCTCCACTCCGTTCGCATGTTCTTCTCCATTTTTCCACACCACATATAAACCCTACTGCTTTAGTTCTGAACCCAGAAAAAGAAGGCAGAGAGTTTTTAGAGATTAAAAATAGGTGATGAATCTTAAAGATTGGTGTGTGTATTATACAATAATGTTGTTGTTGATGAAATTCCGTTTCTATTAAAACCAACAAAGGCCGATTTCTTCAAGAAGAAAGATCCAAAAAGTGCTTCTTTGCTTCTGAAACCAAAATGAAGACCTGGAATTTGGTGTTGCTGATGTTATGTGTTACGGTTATAGCTCCTATTGTTCTTTATACTGATAGATTCTCTGCCTCTTTCAAAGCTTCTTCTTGTATGTTCTCTTCTTCTTCGTCAATTAATTTATTTTCCTATCTCAATTTCATACCTTGTTTCTTCTTCCTCAATTAACATTTTTCTGGGTTTGTTTCGTTTTTGCAGCTAGAAACCAATTTCTTGAAGATCTTTCAGCTTTTGTAAGTTTTTTCAACTTTACTTTTTCACCCTTATTCTTCTTTTGTTTGATCCTCATAAATGCGACCTTATTCTTCTTTTGTTTGATCCTCATAAATGCGACCTTATTCTTTCAGATTTTACTTTCCTTTTTCACCCTTATTCTTCTTTTGTTTGATCCTCATAAACCAATTTCTTCTTTTGTTTGATGCTCATAAACCTCACCCATCTTTCAGATTTTACTGGGGTTATATCATGGTTTGCAGCAAAATGCGACCGTATTTTTTGCAGTGGTTTAATTGATTTTGAAGATCATTTAAGTTTTTCCGACGAGATTCTTTTGAACTTGTGATTCTCTTCGTCTGTGGTTTTGTACTAGTTGAAGTCAGTATGGAGATTATGCTTTGATTTGAACATTTGGCTATTAGCTTTGAGTTTCTGTATGCCATTTCATTTCTTTTTAGCTCTGTTTTCTGATTTTTTTTTTTTTTCTCTTTATCGAAGTGTGTACTTTCTCATATTTGGGGCTTTTAGCTTTTTCTTGTTCTTGTTTGCAGTTTCAAATCATCTACTTATAATAGCATCCTAGTAATCTTTTTTAGAACTTTAATTTTTTATTAAGTGTCACTTACAAATGTGAAATAGATTTCTGATCCTTATTATCTTCTGTATAGATGGGGGTCCCATTGCATACATGGGTTCTTTTCTCCAATTTCAAGCTGGCTTACAATCTTCTACGTCGCCCTGATGGCACTTTTAATCGCCATTTGGCAGAATTCCTTGATCGGAAAGTCCCTGCTAATGCAAACGCAGTTGAAGGTGTTTTCTCTTTTGACGCCATTTGGCAGAATTCCTTGATCGGAGGACAGTTGATTTGTTAATTTTTCTTGCATTAAATTTATGATCAGTGTTTTTATGATTCAGGGATTGTCAAACAGTAGGACAGGTGCAACTAGTATAAATGCAGAAAGCTCACGCTCACATAGTGTTTTCACTTGTGTTGTTGAATCCTGATGCAAGGTAATAACTGCTGCAATTTAAAAATTAGTAGTTTTTCTTTAAATTATGAGTTACAGATTGCATAAAGTGTTTCTCTTAAAGGCATATAAATCTGTGTCTATCTATTAGAATACTCTTTACTAGCTAAGCAATCTGATATTCTGTGCAGTCTTGCTCATTATATCTGCTTCATTAACTTTGACGTAAGAGTAGAATCTATTGACATGCAACAACAATAGAGTACTTGAATATCTTTGTTTTTTTTCATGAGTTTTGTTTCATTTCATTGTGATCGATGTTTTCTGAGTTAAACTCTTGTGTCTTTTAGAGCAAGGCAGATGGTATAAGCAGGTTTAAAACAAGTAGAATAAATCTTGTCGATCTAGCAGCATGGTCTTTGTTGTAGTTAACTTGATTCACATATGTACTTTATAAGGTAATCTTTAGATTCTGGTGTCTGTCACTTGAATCTACATCTTGGTGTTGTTTCATGCACTTTTTTTTATTGCGTCTGTACGGCTATATAGTTTAATAGAACCAAAAAATGTCAATTTGACCAAGTGTGTTATCCTGGTGATGAGACTAGAATTTAAGAACTTCATGGTACTGGAAATTTAGAAATCAAATAAAAGAAAAATGAAATATCAAAAAAGTGAAGTACTGTTAAATCATTTGATTGTCATGGGAACATGTTAATGCAGTTCACATGTACTGAGACTTATCAGTTTCCATTGAATTAAAAATTAAGAGAAAAGAATTAGTGTTTGAAAATATATCGGAAAGTCCCTGCTAATGCAAACACAGTTGATGTGTTTCCTCAGTCAATTATAAATTACCATAAATTTGCTGTATTGCAAACTTTGCTAACTGATACATTGGATAAAGGAACTGAAACAATTAGAACTACATTCCCTTCGGCTAAGATGCTAGAGGATAGATATGAGAAAAAGGGAACTGAAACAAAATGGAAGAATCGAATACTGCCGCAAGATGAGAATGATATGCTGAGTGAAAAAACGCAAGAGTACGAATTTGAATTGTATATGCTAAACTTATGTGCATTATAAGCCTTTAACTAATATGGCCTCTGCTTAATTGCTTTTGTGTTCACTTGATCAGTGAATTTCCTTCTATAGAAAGTATATGTATCTCGCTCTTAAGATAAGGTGCACCAAAATTATACCTTTTTGAGGTGCAAAAGGTTTATTTTTACATTGTGATGAGAGAGTACCTCAATTTGGTGCCTTTTTTTCTCTCTCTTGGAGCTTTAGCTTCTACTTCAGTTGTATTGGACTCTTCAGTTGCATTCTCTTTACCTTCAACGCATTGGCAGCATGTTGTCATGTGAGGGCATTTGATGAGTCTGGATGTAATTATGGTGTTTCAGAGTTGTGAGTCTTAGTCATGTTTACTGAGCCTTCCTTGATTTGATGACATTTTTATGACTTACTATGATTTTATATCTGTTGTTCAGCGTATAATTGATCTGAAGGTGAGACATCCTCGAATCTTCAATACCAGCTCAAAAAGATATTGAAGACAAGGTTGAGACATTAATGTTCTACTAATTAGCATAGATTTTTGCTTTTTATTATTACTATTGTTATTAGCTAATCTTATCAGCATTAACTTAAATGTTTTTGTTTAATTAGAATAGTTAAAGTTATAGCAAGTTTAGTGTAGTTGCATGATTGACTGAGGATAAATTATTATATTGTTATATATAATGCAGTGTATAAATTAAAATGTTGTTATTTTTGGATATCTTTTAAAAGTGTTGTGATAGATGAAATGTTGTATATAGCATTGGAAATTTTTTAGTACCAAAAAGTAATTTAGCATAATTGCATTCCACATTCAGCGTCTAAAATTACTATAATTAACTACTAAATCTTGGTCACCAATAGATATATTCGATTACTAATAAAATAGTTACGAAAACCTATTGGATTCCACATTCAGCGTCTAAAATGATTATAATTAACTACTAAATTTTGGTCACCAAAAGATACATTTGGTCACTAATAAAATAGTCGCGAAAATCGTTTGGATTTTACATTAAGCGTTTAAAAGTATTACAATTAACCATTAAATTTTGGTCATCAAAAGATACATTCGTCGACTAATAAAATAGTTGTGAAAACCTTTTACGAAATTATCCTTACACTTTTGGCGTCTAATTTTTGTGGGATTTTCGACAAATTATTAGACATTAAAGCATACATTTTGCAACTAATTGATTAGTCACTATACAATTTTACCAAATTGCCCTTTAACTTTTAGCGTCTAAGTTGGGGGATTATTTTGACTAGCATTTAACGACTATTTTGCTAGTCGCAAAAAAAAAAACTTTTCGCGTCTAAACAAAAATTTAGACGCACAATGAATCTGCGACAGTGATACTACAACCAAGGAGCGACTACCAAATTTAGACGCGAAAAATGACTTAGCGTCTAAATGTGACTTTTTACTTCTAATTTTGCTAGACACAGAATGTCAATTTTCTTGTAGTGACTTGCACACTTCAAGTTGCAAGCATTTAGATTGCCCAAGCATTCAAAACATATTAACATGATTCCAGCAAGATATCTCTTGCATTAATACTCCTCCTTGATATATTTGCTAGAAACACCAAGTTTAAGTCTCAGTTCTTCAAACTTGGATTCGTTTAGAGCTTTTGTCAGGACATCAACGACTTGCTCTTCGGTCCTCTAATGAAAAAGCTTAACTTCTTTGCTCTGTTTGGCTTCTCTAACAACATGAAACTTGATCTTTATGTGCTTTGTTCCACCTTGAAGAACATGATTCTTGGCCATTGCAACAACTGATTTATTGTCACAAAAGATTATTGTGGGATCACATTGTTCCAACTTCATATCTTTCAAGATCTTCCTTACGTGTAATAATATTTGAAAAATAATACAGTTATCGAAGGATGTGTATAGAATGATGTGGCGTAATCCTGATCGTCGATTAATATAATCAGGATTACACCACGTCATTCGATACACGAATTCAGTACGCATCCTTCCATGACAGTAGCATTACTTATAATTTTTACACAAACTTTTAGGTATACACACCGCTAGAAAATGGGCCCATCCCGACGCACATAAGTGATAAGTCATCGTTCCAACCTGAAAACACATCACAATAATTTAAAAACATTAACGGCAACGCCACAAAAAACTTCGGTATGTTATTGCATAACGCTTATCTTAACAATAATTTCCCGACACCAAAACACACCATCATAGTGATCCTCGTATAGTGTAACCCACTGAATATATTTTCCACTTTAACAATATTGTTTGCAGTAAATTAAGGGAAGATGTGTTGTGTTGGCCCAAATCATGAAGAAAGAAGGACAATTTTCAGTTCTTAATAAAATATTAGAGTTTCTGTGGAGCAAAATTTGCTAGAGTGCATGTGAAAATGAAACACCACCCAAGAAAAAAAAAAAAATTAGGATACGAGATTCTTCATATATTACTTCTCAGTTATTCATTATAAATGAACGGTCGTTCATCCCTAAAGAATGGCCGTTCATTCCTTAAAAACGATAGTTCATATTTAATTAAAATCAACTTATGTGGTAGTGTTAATTTTGCTACCATATTAAGGTTGTAAAAAAATGTTATGAATTTGGATTGCAAGCCTAATAATTTTGTAATTTATAATCATATTCACTTAATCTAGTGAACTTTATTTATTCAAATTTTGAATTATTGACAACATATCATAAGAAAGTATAAATGTGATATGGTCACATATAAGGGACAACCCAAAGAATGATTAAAGCTTGATATTTACTCATGCATAGATATTGATGTTGAAGAGACATTCTGAAGAGACTGTACATGTGCTTAGGGTTCATATAATGGACCCAATTCAAATTACTTAATTAATTGCTGTTATAAAGTCTAGTTATGTGACGGTGCTAGGTTATAGAATTTTACCCAAGAGAATGTGAGAGGACCGCTATGGTCTATCAGTTATATGTAGCTATTTATGAAAAATATTATGTTATAATAAGTAGCTTGAATTATTAATATTAATAATGTTCTTTATTATAATAACAATGGCTCCGGTTGGTATACTCTCTAAAATATCATTTCTAAAATCCTATTTTAAATAGGGTAGAATTTCGAAAATGTGTTTGATATATCATTGAAAAATATTTTTTTAAATATTTGTATTATCCCCCACTCACTCAATCGATTGTTAGCACGATGGTCATCAGTCGTCAGAATGGTGCAAGACTAGCTAAATCTGACCAGTTGTACACCAATCTTGTCTTTTTTAGATAGATCTATCATAGATTTAACTGAAAAAGATCTAATCTACAACCAGAATATGACCGACTAAGATATGGTCATTGTCAACGGCTAGATCTTTGGTTATAAATTTAGTTGTTTCTGATCAATGCATAATCAATCAGATCCAGTTGGTCGTGTGTTATCCCAACATTGGCTACTGGAGGTGACAGTGACAGCAGCTAGCAGTGATAGTGGCTTTGATAAGTAAATGTATTTTTGTTAATTTATAAACGTTTATTGAGAAAGATAATTTTAATGTTTTGAGTTGAATAGAATATGATTGAAATTTGAACAATATTAAAACAAACACATTTTTTATTTTTTAGAATAGAATAATCTAATAGGATGGTGTATATTTACAAAATATTCGATGAATAAAAGATGGGGTGGGAATGAGTCTATCAAAAGTTTTTAAAACTTTAATGATAATAATTGGAAACAACTCATTATTGTTTGTTCACTAACATACAATTTATAAATATTTTTAAGTGATTAAGTGATTTAGGGGGTGTTTGTCTGAGCTTATAAAAATTAGCTTATAAGCAACAATTGCTTATAAGCTAAAATTAACTTATAAGCATTTAAAATTTTAAGCAATTACGTGTTTGGTTAAAGTACTTATAAGTGACTGATAAATAATTGATGTGTTTGGTAAAATGTGGCTTATAAGTATATTTTATTATAAAATTACTAAAAAAGGTACTACATTAAACAAGGACATACTATGAAATTTTAAAATTAAATAAAGATAATGTGGTAATATACTTGGTCAAACTAGCTTATAAGTAAAGTGCTTATAAGCCAAAAAAAAAAAGTACATCCCCCTAACTTATTTTTTTTAGCTTATAAGCTCAACTTATAAGCTCAAAAAAATTATAAACAAACAGATCAGCTTAATTTTAGAGCTTATAAATAAGTTTGACCAACTTATAAGCTTAGATAAACACCCCTTTAATAAGGGCTTTTAGTATATAATTTAAAAAGATGTTTAAATTCAAAACTCTTTCCTGATAATTACAGGAACTTTGACAGATATTTTTAAGATCGATGTATTAGAGCATCTCCAACCCACGCTAAATTGGCGCAAAAAACACCAATTTGGCGTGGGTTGGTACTCCAACCCACACCAAACACTGCGCCATTTTGGCGCAGCACTGTAGCACAATAATAAAATATATATTTTTTTTTAGTTTTGATTTTTTTTGTTTTTTTTATTTTGTTAAGTTAATTTGAGTATTAAATTTTACACCAAAAATCATACTAAATTTGAGTATTTGTATTTAATTTAATTTGATTATTATTTATAATAATGATATAATTTAAAAAATGATGACAAATTAAAAATAGAACTTTATTCAATGCAAATATTAAACTACAATAACTAAAAATAAAAATTAACACTAATTTAAAAACACTAAAATTAAAAGAAAATACAACATAAACTAAAATAACAATTTAGTATTTCGGTAGATTAGTTTCGGATCCAGTAAGATCATCAAAATATTGAAAAGAACTTGAGTTATTTTGAGATCCTTGACCTTATTGTTGAGCTCTTTTTTGCATAATTTTTAGTATAATTTTCAAAATAATTATTATTTAATAAAAATATCATTCCCAATATTTAATTAATATATACAAAAATAATGAGTGAAATAGATTAATTGTTGATTATTACAATAAAAGAAAAAAAAAGAATATTCTAAAGAATATTCTTTTTGGTACAATATTTGGTATTATGGGTTAGAGATAAAATAGTATTTTGCACCAAATTTTGCACCAATTTAGTGTAATTTTGCACCAAATTGGTGCAATGGGTTAGAGATGGTCTTAGCTGAGGTGCCCATGGTGGTTTGTTCAATGGTTCCTATAAAACCGTGCCATTTCGGAACCCAAGGAACCAGCATTCAATGTAATAAAGACATGGAATTTCCTGGTCAAATAACAATTATTACGATTTTGAAAATTTACTTAGTCATCAGCCCCAGTTATTCTTTGATTCTTTCTTCACTACTAAAATTACAAAATTCCAATGACAGGTGTACTATTGAGTATAAAGCATGCAAGACGTATATATATATATATATAAAAGCAGTTAAAAGAGGAAGAAATTAGCCCTCAGAAATTAAACATATGTAGTCACCGTACTAATAATATATACATCAAATGCTTCATGCATGAATAATATTAGCCTTACAAAGAGACATACAAAAAATCATATAAAGAGTCAAATATAACCCTTAAAATAAGGGAAAAAGAGAGAAAGAAAGAGACAATCATAAATTTTAAAGACTGAATTTAACTCTTTGTATGACTCTTTGTATATCTCTTTATAAGGCTAACATTACTCTTCATGCATATACGTGTATGTTTAGTGTGTAACCAAGAGTTGGGCAAAAAATGGATTGGGATAAGTGTTCGATTTTACACGATTTTTAAGATGGTGATGTTCAACAAGTCTCCACTACAGAACTTTGATATTTTGTTTTCAAATTTATACACATATATCAAGTTGGGTTCATTTCACTTTCATATCTTTGACCTTTTCTATCTTACAAAATCTTCCTTTTCAAGCTTTGAAGAAAGATACATCCGCACGCATTTGTTTTACTTATGGGAATTTTGTTTTTTAATTATTAAGTTGAATTTGTTAATTTCCATACATATATATTATACATTTTAAAAAACAAAAAAAAAAAAAGTGTTTTCGTTTAACAAATTCAGACCAGAAAAATAAAACGCTTTCGAAGCCATAATTTTATTATTTAGAGTTTCAATTTGTGTTTACCTTAACTTGTACACACTACAATTAATTTTAAAACCCTGAAATTACCAACTAAATAAAAACCTCAATAGTTACCTATATTAAAACTTAAAAAGACTTGAACCCAACAACTTATAAATAATCTTCTTTTATTCTTTTATAATCAATATTCAATAATGACTAATTTTAATTTATTTTATACATTAAAAATGAATAGTAAAAATAATAAATGTACTTAATTAAAGAGATCCAAAATTAATTCTTAGCCATGTGAGATGGCTATAAACTATCTTGAAAAAGTGTCAATTAATTAATTTATAATATATATATAGAAAGTTTTGACTGAAGGTAATTCTTGATTTATAGTCTATCAATATTATATTATTTGTATTATTGTATTATCTGTATTTCTGTTTACATTGCATATAAGTATTTTACATATCATCCCACTAACTCGTATCCTATCTTTTATTCTGACATTTATATTCTAAGTAACTACCCGTCTATTACCATTCCTTCTGAGCACTTAGAGAGACTAAAAAAGAGTGTTTACTCTGTCACCATTCGATCCGAGGACCTAGTGAGATTAAAAAAAGAGTTTTAAACTCTGTTCATAAGTGAAGATTAAACGAAACAAATAATCGGGAGATGCCCGTTCATATATATATGGAATCCACATATGAACACTTACTCGCCCGCTGGAATCTGTTCTCCTTCCCTATTACCCTCAGCTTTCACCTAGAGAGATTAAAAAAGAATATTTAAATTGAGTTCATAAGTGAAGTTTCCCATAAGCTCATAAGCTCTTGTCTAGGACTCAAAAACTTTCAAATGTTTTTATGTAAAATTGTTAGTGGGTGGTGGATGTTGTGTAATTCCAAAAGAAGATCCATCAAGAGAAAAAAAAAAATAATAAATAAATAATCAAGAGATGTCCGTTCATATATATATATATATATATATATATATGTAATCCACATATGAACACTTACACGCTGCATGTAAGTGTTCTTGTCACCAATCACGTTGTCTGCCACCTACCGAGATTAAAAAAGAAAGTTTAAACTGAGTTCATAAGTGAAGTTTAAATAAAACAAAACAAAAGAAATAATCAGGAGATGCCCGTTAATATACATGGAATCCAAATATGAACACTTACATCCTGCTTGACTTTATCGACTTCGTAATCGAATCCCACCTAGAAAGATTAGAAAAGAGTACTTAAACTGAGTTCATAAGTGAAGTTTAAGCTCACAAGTTTGTGTCGGGACCTACAAAAAAAAACAAAACAAAAATCGGGAGATGGTTCACATATATGGAATCCAAATATGAACACTTACTTTCTGCTTGATTAGTATCCTGGCCCATCTTGTTTTTGTCACCTAGAGGATAAAAAAGATGTATGTAAACTGAGTTCATAAGTGAAGTTTAAACAAAAATAAAATAAATAATAAACAAAAGAAATAATCAGGAGATGCCCGTTCACATTATGGAATCCAAATATGAAGACTTACATGCTGCACGACATTTTTTTTGTCATCAATATCCTTGTGAGCCACCTACAGAGATTAAAAAAGATGTTTAAACTGAGTTCATAAGTTAAGTTTAAACAAAACAAAACGAAAGAAATAATCAGGAGATGCCTATTATAATATGAAATCCAAATATGAAACTACTTGATGCTTGGGATTTGTGATGGGTTATCCCGCTGAGTGCCGCTAGAGAGATTAAAAGAGTATTTAAACTGAGTTCAAAGTGAAGTTCTCATAAACTCACAAGTTTGGGACTTAAAACTTTCAAGTTTTATGTAAAATGTTATAATTGAACTGAGTTCATATATTTTTTTTTGTAAAAAAGTTTATTTTTTTAGTTAAGAAATTATTTTCAAATAAATAAATAAATTTAAACTAGATTTAACTGAAATTTCTTCTATAATTATCTTTATTAATGAAATCAATATTTTTTAAAAAAAAAAAAGGAAGAAGAAGAAGAAAAACAACCTGCGATTCGGATGTCACGGTTCCGGTCCTGTTGAACAAATCAAAGAAACGAAAAGAATAACATTAAGAGAAAAATTAAATTAATAGAAAAAAAACAAAAAAAAAACTCACAAGAGATTACCCATTGATGATATCGAAGAAATGAAGCACGTTTAAGCTGGGATTTAGTTTAGTTTAGTGTGAGCGAGTAAGGGCAAATTATGGGTTATTTTATAGGGAGAGAGCACAAGAGGTCACCTGATTACAGAGGATGGGTGGTTAATTAGAGCCGTCTGATTAAAGCGTGAGGTGTCACCGCTAATTATGATGATTATAACCATGGTTATCTGTAACCTCTCAATGGCTATCATCTACGTTATGCTTACGTTATCATCTTAGGGGGCTAATCACTGGGGTGTCACAGGGGTTTTTTCGATCAGAATTAGCGGTTGTGACACGTAAGCATAACGTAATATCTTAAAATGCAACTGATTTATCCAACAGTTTAAATCAACTTTCGTAGAAGTTAGAATAATAATGCACCATTACGTCGTGGTATTTCAGGCCTACTTCAAGTCAAAGTTGTTATTAGAAAACTTGAAATTCATATCTGTTCTGCCTTGACTTCTCTATCTCCAAATTTGCGCTGGCCTCCACCACCAACTTTCTGACTGGATTCCATCAACTCCTAGGTGTATTGGTGATCTATCTTTGCTTCTCGACATATTTGGTTCTAATTAACTTTCCATATACACCGAATTTATGCACTAAATAACATAATAAAATCTTGACCGTTGATTAATTTTAACTTATTATGGGTTATTTTTTAGAGTAGTGTTACAGCCACCGATGATAGTGCATCGAATTTATGTACTGAATAACGTGATAAAATCCTGACCGTTGATTAATATTAAGTTAAAATTAATCAATGATCAGGATTTTATCACATTATTCAGTACATAAATTCGATGCACTATCGTCGGTGGCTGTAGCACTACTCTAAAAAATAACCCATAATTAGCTCTTACTCCCTCACACTAAACTAAACTAAATCCCAGCTTAAACCTCCCTTCATTTCTTTCGTATCAAAGGGCGCATTTGGGTTATATAATATTTTATTATAAGGAGATATTATATTAATGAAAAGATATATTATCCTGAAGATTATTGTGAATGTTTAAAAAGTGTGTTTGGTTTATTCGAATAAGTTGGTGAGTAATATGTTTGGTTAGGAGGATAAATGGGTGAGTGCGTTATATAGATTACTCAATTATCCTCCTTTTTAAATATTAATATAATAAAAAAAAATTTGAATTATTTCTTTTAACCCCCAACATTTGAAATTTTGCTAACACACCTCAGCCATATAAAACTTTAATTTGTAACAAAATCACTTATACTCACCTCAAGCCACTGCCAGTAGCCAGCCGCCACCACCGGTAGTCGATGGAATGGTACACGACTGGCCGTATATGGTTGGCTATGTGCTGGCAAAGCCATTTCTGACCATGGATCACAAATCCATGGCTGTTTCAAGACCAGATCTATGGCTGTTTCACACCCACATCTTTGGCCATGAAACAACCATAGAAATGGCCAGATCTGGCTATTTCTGGCCATGGATCATTGATTCATGGTCGGAAAAGGCCTTACCGGTGCACAACCGGTAAGATTCCGCCGATCTTGTGCCATTACGGCAACTAATGTCGAGGGCTAGCGGTGGTTTTGGGTGGCTGCGGGTGTTTTGTTAACTTTTAAACTTTTTTGTGGCTGGGGTGTTTTGGCTAAATTCTCAAATGTAGGGGGGCTGGGTAATGGTTATTTGGTAGACATTTGAGGGTAATTATGTCCGAAATGGTATTTAATTAAGGGCAAAATAAGTTTAAAAATCATATGACCTTGTAATCTTTTAATAACAGCCTTGGGGTAGGGTATCAGATTATCCCCTACATTACCAACAGTGAACACTATTTTCAATAAAAGATACCCATAATATTTTCTTACTTGCAAACCAAACAATGGAATCTTGCAAAATAAACGAAGATTAGCCCCGTTATCTTATATTACCCAGATCCAAATGCACCTAAAGAGAGTACTAGGAAAGTTTAGGGAAATGTGTTAGGTTAGTTTGGAATGAATTGGTGGGTATGTTATATTAATATGTTCAGTTATGAGAATAAATTGGTGGGTATGTTATGTAGATTGCTAGATTGCCCTCTTTTTTAAATATTAATATAAATATTATTTTTATTATTATTTTTTATATAATTTCTTTTAAACCCCTACATTTGAAATTTTGCTACAACACCTCAGCCATATAAAACTTTAATTTATAACAAAATCACCCCCCCAAAGTCATCGCCGACAGCCAACCACCACCGCCGACCACTGCCGGCATGGCGCATGACCGACCAGATCTGGCTGGTCCTACGGCAATGAAACCATTTCTGACCGTGGATCATAGATCCATGGCCGTTTCCCGACAAAGATGTGGTCATGAAACAACCACAGATCTGGCTATGAAAATGTTAGATTTTTTGTTGTTTCACAGCCAAAGATCTGACCTTTTCATGCCAGATTTGTGGCCATTTCATAGCCACATCTTTGGCAATTCACAGCCAGATCTGGCTGGTGGCCATTCCGGTACTTGCTTGACTGGCAGTGGTAGTTTTGTTAGGCTAGAATTTGTTTTAAATATAAGGGCATTAATATCTAAAAACTTAATTAATTAGGGATAAAATTGTAATGGCAAGTTCATGTAAATTAAGTTAAAAATAAAGGTATTTTTGTCCAAAAATTTTATTAACAAGCAGTAAAATTGTTACAAAAATAAGATGACAAAGTAATCTTAAAATACCTAAGAAATTAGAGGTAATTAGACTACTTCATATATTACCAATAGTAATTACTATTGGTTTTCGAAGATTATTAGAATCTTATATTACTTGACAACCAAACGTGATATTCTAAGTAATATAAGATGATATTACCTCAGTAATCCCCCATTACCCCTAACCAAACACACCCTACCAGTCTGTCACTCTACTTTTGAACAGTTTGAAGTTTTCTGAATTTATGATCTGAACCATGATTATGTTGCGTGGTTGGGACAAAGAGCGAGTGTTTGGCCTTGAGTTGGAAGAAATCAAGACACTTTTGGCTCTTGATCAACCTGTTTTCACTTTTTGGAAATTCTCACACTAAGTTACTTCAAGGAAACTTAAAACCTTTAGGGTGCGTTTGGTTTGGGGAATATTTTATTGCTCGAAAGGTAGGATTACCTTGAAGATTATGAGGGAATGTTATACCAATGTGTTTGGTTAGATTAGTGGGTATAAATAATTAAGATGTTTGGTTGGGAAGAATAAAATATTATTGATAGAGGCTTTTACTGAATTGCCCTTCCTTTTTAATATAATAATAATAATAATAATAATATTATTATTATTATTATTATTATTATTTAAATAAATTCCTTTAATCCCCCTATATTTGATAATTTAGCTAAAACACCCCCAACAACAAAGTTTAAATTTTAACAAAATACCCACAGCTAGCATCGACTACCGACGTCAGTCACCAAAATGGCACACAACTGGCAAGATCAGGCTAGCCGTTCACCGTTTTGGCTATTTTTAGCCAGATCGAAGGCCGAAAATAGTTAGATCCATGCTGATCTAGCCAAAAATGGCCAGAATAGATCGTCTATTCTAACCATTTCCGGCCTTCGATCTGGTCAGAAACAGCTAGATCAGTGCACAGTTAGCCAGATCTCGCCGGTCGTGTATCAATATATTGATTATTTTCGGTGGCCGACGGTGGTCTTTGATGGCTAGGGGTATTTTGTTAACTTTTAAACTTTTTGTGGCTAGGGTGTTTTAGCTAAATTTTAAAATGTAGGGGGTATGGGTTATTGTTATTTGGTAGATATTTGAGGGCAATTGTGTCAAAAATGATATTTAATTAAGGGCAAAATGGGTATAAAATTAAGATTACCTTGGTAATCTTTAAATACCATCCCCTGAGGAGGTAATCTAATTACCCCCTATTTAACCTCCAGTAATCATTATTGGTATTGAAAGATTACCGAAATATGTTATTACTTGACAACCAAACAAAGGAATGTCCAGAATTAAAGATAGATTATCGGAGTTATCTTTCCAAAGCCTTAACCAATCACACCCTGAGATAAACTTTAACAAATTTTGATATCTTTATGAGTAAACGACATTTTCCCACCCAAGGTTTGGCGAATCTGCAAGTTCCCACTCTTGGTTTCATAAATTGCAAATTCCCACCCTTAAATTAACACCGTTACGTTTCTCTCAAAATAACCCCTACATCTCAAATTTCTCTCAAATAATCTCTGGAGGATCCCGACCAAGCCAAAAA